ATTAATATATAAGTGTTAAAATATTAATTTTTGCTGCTAGGTTTTCCTTTCCTTTTTTAAATTAGACCTGGGTTCGTACTTAAAAAAACAAAACAGAAAAACGTTTAAATAAAACGTGATACGCAAGCCTAAAAAGCTTGAGAACTACCGTATTAGAGTATTGTAAGTACATGTACGTCCCTTTTCCAAACAATTATTATATATATATTTGTTTTATAAAGATTTGTTTTAGTTCAAAGTTCTATGAGCTCTGTCCATGCGGAAAATTGAACCTAGGTTTTTAGCGTTGGAAGCCCGTAAACTTACCGCTGACCCACCGGTGGACTATATATTGAAAGAGCTTATATAGTATAGAATAATTTTCATTATAAAGAAAGGTTATACAATGTAGAATAACAGAACACTGGTGTTTCGTTACAGTGAAGGGTATCTTAGAGAGTTTAAAAGTGAAGTGAGATTTCGTTATTTATTGAAACCTTATAGATGGGAGAGTAATGTATGTTATATTAAAAGAGCTTAAAGAGTAGAGAATAGTGTTCATTATATTGAAAGATCTTAAAGAGTAGAGAGTAGTATACAATATATTGAAATAGCTTAAAGAGTAGAGAATAGTGTTCATTATATTGAAAGAGCTTAAAGAGTAGAGTATTGTTCATTATATTGAAAGAACTTAAAGAGTAGAGAATACTCTACTCTTTAAGCTCTTTCAATATAATGAACAATACTCTACTCTTTAAGCTCTTTCAATATAATGAACAATACTCTACTCTTTAAGCTCTTTCAATATAATGAATACTATTCTCTACTCTTTAAGATCTTTCAATATAATGAACAATACTCTACTTCTTAAGCTCTTTCAATATAATGAACACTATTCTCTACTCTAAGATATTTCAATATAATGAACAATACTCTACTCTTTAAGCTCTTTCAATATAATGAACACTATTCTCTACTCTTTAAGATCTTTCAATATAATGAACAATACTCTACTCTTTAAGCTCTTTCAATATAATGAACAATACTCTACTCTTTAAGCTCTTTCAATATAATGAACAATACTCTACTCTTTAAGATATTTCAATATAATGAACACAGACTTATCGCTGTCCCACCGGTAGACTCTTGTGACGGTTTCCATAAGTATTTAACAATATAGTGAACAAGAACATCGGCTCCCAAAAATTTCCAACATGCACACTGTGAACAACACCAATGAAAATTCATTCCCCATCCCCCCCCCTTTTTTTTTGTATTCAGTTGTACCAGGATCTTACCAACGAACACGCTGCTGACTATTACTGGTCGACAATTTCAATATTACCCATACTTTGGTGGATCTTAGTAGATTGATTTATAATGGTTACAAAGAATGATTAAGCGCCACTGCCTCACTCAAGTACCAAATAAACAATAGTTCTTATGTTCTACATCTATTTTATGTAAGGAATGAATGGAGGTGAGACAAAAATTGAGTGATATCCGATTTAAAAAGATGTCAAGAAGTAAATTTTTTTATCATGGTATATTGATACGTGTATACGAAACATGTATATATAATGAACAATACTCTCTACTCTTTAAGCTCTTTCAATATAATGAACAATAACGTACTTGCAACGCTAAAATCCGGGGTTTGATTATTTTGCTATTAAAACAAAACACAAAGCCGTCACAAGAAGAAAAATAGTTCAACCTATGTAGAATTTTGGCGAACGTGTACGCCTCCGTTATAAATCAAATAATTTTATAGTTTATTATAATTTATCATTATTCTTGGGAACTTTGGCTTATACTTGTAATACATATGTTTTGAAGTCACTCACTTAACCTCAGCCAAACCACATGACAGAGTGGGTGGGTGTGGCAACAAGAGAAAGAGCGCAAAGAAAAATGTTTTTCAGCTATATTACACATATGGTTATTTTGTCTTTAATTATTAATTCTAAGAACATATTGTTATTATTGGAAATTAATGTGGGCGGCCTCTTTTCTTATATCCAGTTAGTCATCCATTGTTTTTGTATGTATTTTGGCAATACGTAATATTAAATTCCGTTCCGCTTGTTGCCATTGGCTTCCATAACTTGGTCACGTGATACGAGTATTTGGTCTCTACTCCTTCGTTCACGCACCGAATTGAACTGCGTAAGATTTTTTTTTTTCTGTCGTAGTGATAATTTATGCAGTAAAAATGACCATGTGACTTATGGAACGTATACAGGTATAAAACATACCACCAGCATTCACTACTGCACTTAATGTGCTTACTTTTCAGGGTCGCTTCCCTTAGTGGTGAATAATGGTGAAATACGGGTTATGTTGAAAGCCATTTTAAAGCATATTTAATATTTTTCACAATCAAATTTTGCCCAGTTGAACACATTGAACTTTTCTCCTCACACCAATGTCACTAAAAGAAAGAACACTTGCACTATTTTTTTACTGCTTGACAAAGATTGGGTGTACTGAAAAAGTTTGAAATTTTCTGGAAAACTTCGCTTGGCTCTAGAATCAAAAGTAGGTAAAAGTGGTGAGTGTAAGTTTTGTAGACGTATTATAGAGGCACGTAATGTAATAGATAAAGCAAAAGGTATACCATTTTTAATTCTGGAAAAGAGTAATAAGCATGCATATTTTACGTATAATGAGCAAAGTTTGTAAACAGAGACAGAGTGTTGTAGTTTTGTTTCTTCTTTTGAAATCTCATTTTGGCTACAAATATACTATTTTGTTTGATAAATATAAGCAACTTAAATGTGGGAAATGTGCATGGAAAGAAATGTAGTATTGTGAACATTGCTTTAGCTGCTTCTTAAAACAAACAAGAAAAGCACACTAATTGGTGGTGCTACTCTGTGTATTAGTCTATTTGTTGTTTGATTTCCGTGTAACTAGTATGTACCGTATTTTTCGGAATATAAGACGCACTATTATTTTAAAGACAAAGTTTTTTTGGGGGGAAAAAAGCTA